AAGTTTCTTTTGATGAAATAAAAGTCTTTCTTTTGGCAAAGTATGCAGTGCTGGTGGGGTAGCGCTTCGAAGTTGTCTTGTTGAGAACAACTGAATGAAGAAAGTGAGCTTTGTTTACATACAGGATTCGATTCAGTCAAAGATTTGAACGATTTTCAGATCCAAAAGCCCGTTACCACTCTACCTCTGTTACATCTATCATCTTGTCACCATCAGCCTTTTCTGGAGTCAGTACATTTGCGACCGTACAGGAGCCAGAAAGGCAGTTTTCACGCAATGCCAGTCTGATGAGGTGAAACATAAGAAAATTTGAAGGTTCCCTTTCAATCAGACGTTTACTGTAATTTTTTGCCTTCAGTAAGTTTCAATAGTTCAAATAGCAAATTTCGCAATCCGATTTGAAAAAATAGCAAACACTATTCGAAAAATATTTATATATCTTTATTATTTGCGTACCGCTACCTATAGTTTACTTCACAATTTTACCCCAACTTTTATTCTCAGTAGTGCAAGCATTTGTCATTTTAAATATCGTGCCAATGCCTCAGATCAGAATTTATGCACGTGCATGGAGCTGCACGCATATTCTTTTCAGCCATTCTTTTTACCTGTTCGAACTCAACATTGTGAAACCTCTCGAATCAATTTTCACTGATGACACTTCATTCTACGAAGTAGTTATGAACACAATTTCAATCGTAAAAGCAGCACTTTGAGAGTGAGTACAACAAATTTAACTCGCACAATAAAGGATCACAGAGGCGTTATTCTAATGCAAGTTCCTCTGAGAGGAAGAAGAAGGAGCAGTGGGCTTGGCTACTAAATTTCGATGTCGTGTCCCCCCCCCCCCTAAACCTGTATTTGCACAGAGCTGGTCAGACAACATCACCCCTCTGCGCATTCTGCGGAGAAATGGAATCACTAGATCATTATTTTTTGTATTGTCGCCGCGACGATATACTTAGAAAAAGGTTACTAGTTATGCCATTTCTGAAAATAGGCGTTAGATTGACGGCGGAAACGGCGCTAAGCTTTGGTGCCTCAGTTTTGGGACATTGCCACAGAGATGCTTTCAATGCCGTTTGCGATTATATTCAGGCAACCAAGCGTATACCTTTGTGATCTTCAATCAAAAAAATTATTTATTACTCCCCAGGGCAGAGTGAAGTAAACGCAGCTGAGTGGTAATCATAACACCTCAAATCTCAAAATTGCTCAACTTGATTTTTTTCGTTTGCTTTTTTTATGTTGTTTTAGTTTTTTTGTTTTTTTACATTAGTCGTATTATAATACCAATTAAAACACATACTTAAAATGACCAAAAAAACTGCACTACACTTTCTTGGCCAATCCCCCTGAGTGGGTATGAGCCATCATCCCAGGGAAACAAAACAAAACACAAAACTTGGCTGCTGTCGTGATGCAAGAAGGCCACAAAGCTCCTGCGAAGAGTCCTTGAGCTTCAGAACAAGAGCCCCATAGTAGCCCCATCTCAAACTCTGTCGTCACCCGAGCAGAAAAGCATAGTAGCCCCGTGTTTGTGTTTTGCGCATGAAAAGGACATAGAGGTGGTCCTTAACAGGGTCCAGACGGCGAGAAATTTGAAGGTTGTGGCTACTGAGTATTGCTTAGAGATGCACTGACACAAATTTACGCCATGAATTTTTCGCATTTCTGACAGCCTATTCGTTACAATGTCGCGTATTGCTTGCTGTGACATGGTACAGATGAAGAATTGCTGTCTGTTTAAGACAGAGTAGTTTCAGTTTGGCGCAGCTTCAAGAACACGAACCACCAGATGTAACAAATGCCCGCTAGCGTGGAAAATGGTAGACATAAAACCGGGTTTCCTGGCATAAGTAGCACTTGCACAGCCAGTCTATCGATAGAAAAAGTGGTCGGTGATAGCCGACACAGGAATCATGGCACTTGGGCAAGCAGCTCTCGCTCGGCGCTTCTGGCTGTTGTTGTTGTTGTTGTTTCCCTGTAGAAATGGCTCGTACCCAAAGAAGGGGATTGGCCGATTTTAAGGTGAATTTGCCCTAAACTTTCAGCATTGTGTCATTCCTACAATTTTTTTTGTAACTTAATTTTGATTTGAAATACCGATATCAAGTTTGCAGAAAAAAAAATAAGAAAAATTTTGAGACAGCAATTTAGCAAGAAAATCGTTTAGTCGCAGTGATGTATTCTTGAACGGCGAATAAAACATCCCTGTGGCTGAAACCCAGTGTAGAGGCTCCAAATGAAAGAAGATCAGGCTGTGATAGTTGCAAGCCCAGTCTTTGAAGAGGTGGTGCTAGTATGCTTTGCCTGAATAAATCGAAACGGCGACAATGTAATAAAAAATGACTGATCGTTTCCTCTTGATTACAGTAAATGCACATAGGGGAATTCAATATGCCTGATCTATGCAAGTAAAAATTGAGGGAGGTAACGCGGCAACGAAATTCCGTGATGACAACTTCCATCATCCTTGATTTAGTCAGTTCACTGCGCCAAATCAAGGAGGTGGCCCACTATGGCGTATTGTTCTTCTTTCTCCTTACGCACAGAACACTCACGCACTTCTGTGCTGCCTGCATTTTGTGCAATTTTCGTTGCTGCACAACGTCGTTGCCGTCAAATTATTCATTGTCAATGGGTGCAAAGATTTTCTTGAAGATTTCTCACGTTCAACATGCTCACATCAGGCATGGACACAACAGCCACTGAATCGTTGCCCACTAGAAAAAGTGTGACCAAAGAGCAACAACGGCCATGATGCACCAAATGTAGCTGCGCCAGTTCTGAGCTCGGACACAGTGGTGGCGCCTTGAAAGTTACCACTCAGCTTCAGGTCACTTTCAGTGATTCAATGATGCGAAGTGTGGCATATAGCACTGGGTCAGACACACAAACTTCGATCATCATATAAATTGCCATCTTAGCTACGTTTCCTCATCAAATTCGGTAGATATAAGCATGTTCAAGGGAATCTATATCGCAGGCTATCTGAGCTATGAAAGTTTGTGTCAGTATCTTTTCATGGTATAATAAAATTTTACCCTAAAGGTAAACAAATAAATATAATATTTTAAAGTGTTTTGTGTTTTTCTCCGTTACTGTGCAGATGACTTTGCAAAATGTGTGAAGGAGCCAGCAGATATGCATGCACCTGGCCAGCTGAAGAAGACGATACACTTCATTGCAAAATATTTATTGATATAAATAAATTGCGAGGATGCAAATACGTTCGTCTCTTTAATTTTCTCCAATTTCTCGACACTACACTACATACTACAGTTTGTTCCACCGTTTTATTCTACTGCACTTTTGAAGCATCATGTAAGTGCCCATTACTGCATATTCGTATTTTCCATACTTCATAAACTGGCATTGCCTTATTACTATGCTCATTCACACGTTACTTATGACCCTTACTACTTGCCAGAAGACCTGGGATGTTCTTCAGAAGGACTTTTCCTTGGCCTAGTTGATTCTCGCTTAAAATAATATGGTGTGTGATTCTGTGTGTTCGTTCTCTCTTTTTTTGCACTGTATTATGATTTTCAGCAGGAACTGGAGAATTCATTGAAGCACTATCGCCTATATTACCCATAAACCGTCTAACTTCTGTATAGCCCTGTACCCTACATACTTTATATGGGCTGTAATCTCTATACCTCTTATATGGGCCGTAATCTCTATATCAACTTTATCCAGCAACAACGTATTGATACGGGTCCTACTCATGTAGAATTTTCAGTAAGGAAGACACAATGAATACCGCGTAATAGTAATGACACGTAAAAAGTCAGCAATGAAGAAATTGTCATTTCACTCGATGTAGCCAAAATGTGTGACGTCGCCACCATTATCCGATTGTGACGTCATATTTATTTGTTATTTTTCTTGGCTGTTTTTTATCATCTCCTCACAAAGATGGTGACGGTGGCAACAAGCCGCTGACTTATGGATTTATGAGCTTCCATGGAAGTTGTGCTACCAGTTTACATATACCTTGATATGCATATGAATAAAGGTTGACTTAGGACTCGGAACATTTCTTTCCCTTTTACTTGTGCATTCATCCTAACTTGTGGTGCCGTTTAAGTAGTACGAACTAATACCAACTGGCCCAGTCGTCAGTCACTATAAGCTATGAAGAAACAACAACTTCAATAAACGCTACAATATTTTAGGTTATAATTTTCTACGCAGCACACAGTTATAAAAGCCAATGAAGTGTGAAGTTTTATGCAGTTATTACTAATAAAATGTTTCATAAATGACTATGCGTTGTGGATAACCCTCAATTCTATCGATGATGGCGACAAAAGCACAGCATTTGCATTCATAAAACATATATAGCAAATATGGTCACGCTAGCAACAAAATTGCTTTTTTTGTTATAGCGCGGAAATGACTCAGGGAACAAGTTTGCAACTGGACGGAACGTGACAGCAGCTAGCTCAAACGCCAGCGTGCATAAGTCTTATAGTAAGATCATGAAATGTTTTCGCCCTGTCGATATCTCTGCCAAATTTCAACGGGTATTACGCAGTTACTTCTCATAGCGATCAAGTGCGTAATCGGAACAGGATTACTAAATCGCGATATACCGTGATAACTGGTACATGTTCGGAATAATCCATATCGAGTTTGGAAGCATACAGACATGCCACGCACCGTTAACGATGCCGAGTGCTTCCAAAGAAGCTGGGTAGTCTAATAACGTTTCTTGGCTGGTGCAACGTTTTAACTTGGCTGACGCTAGACTTAGCTGGTGTTGGGTTAGAACTCTGCTGAAGCTGTCTGTCAGGGTCATAGTGGGCTGGGTATGAACTTGGTTGATGCTAGGTCTGAGCTTTGCGTCAGCAACAATTTTTTTTCTCATTATGGTCACTCGATCACCCAGCTTTACCCCTTTAAAGTCTTGCACAGCTAGTGCAATCTTTTTTTTCATTAATTTTTATCCCCCCCCTCATACACAGTCACATGACTCTCGAATTTTTAAGCAACCTTTTTTATTGCCATTTACCATCGCCTTCGTCGTATTACAGGAAGGACAACGTCGTCACACGCATATTCTTTGTCACCAATCCGCCATTTTAACTACGCACCTTCGCCTTTCTCCAAGTAGAGAAGTCGTCAGAAATCTCTTACTCTAGCAGGCTTTGCTTCTGGCAATAATAGTTGTCCAGGCCCCTACCAAACCAGCTGAGAGTGTCTTATATGTTTTTATTGAACTACATTTACTCTTTTTTTTGTAACGTTTTATAGCAAACTCTAATTTTGGAGGCCCACGTTGGCCAATTCAAGATCATAGAGCACGATTGCGATGAGCGAGTGGCAGTCATTTTGATGAGATGTGATCACTTTGATCGCTATCACTGTGTGGTACCATTGTTAGACCACCAAAAATAGCAATGGTGGGCGCACAGTGTGCCAGTGTGGATCACTGATTGCTGCTTGAGTGCCCTCCGAATCCGTCATGGCATGAATTAATAGTAACGTGATGTCACAGACGTTCATCGGGTGGCAAGCTGCTCCAGGGATGAAGCCATGCGCTTGGCCAAGTTCTCCCACGTGCTGCGTGCCACTTGCTTGACCTTTGCGACAAAAACGTCCCACTGCTCTTGGATCTGCCCCGCGAACTCGTCCTCTTCACGGCTCCGCGGCGCTGCGTATGTGGCCCGTGTTAGCTGTTGCATCAGGCCTCTGCGCGCCTGCTCGCCCATGCTGTGCAGTATCAAGCAGATTCGGTCTGCCGTCGTATCGGTGCCGTTGACGAGAACAAGGGGCGCATCGAAGGCGCGATGCGGCTGGCCCTTTCGCACATCTGAAGCTCGCTTGATGATTGGCTGTTGCTGCTGGCGATGCTCTGCTGTGGGCGTGGTTTCAACGACCGTGAATGGGACCTTGGCAAAAATGTGCGAAGAAAACCAATGTTATGCTCTGCACTCATAACTCCTCGAAAGCTGCGAAGAGACAACGGTATTCTTAATTATCATCAAATATCCGCATTCAAACAGCTTTGTGAGATCAGCATCAATTTAACAAGGCTGAACGCACATTCAACCCCGTCGAAAGGGTCATTACTGATCACAGGGACTTGTCAGAGCTTCAATACTTGCTTAAATATTTTTCTCATTTTATTAGTGAAAGCGCATATGCAAGTGTTGATGCAATGTTTCTAACAGAACTGTAACGTGTATATTAATCTGAAAAACGCACAGACTTTGTACGCCTGAAATCAATTTTAAATTATTTTTATTCTTGCTATAGGGTCACTTGGAATTCATAGGCGGGAACCAGAAGGCAATTACTATCAAGTTTTCCGCTAATAATTTGTAAGCTTTAGCTGAAACCTCATTTAAAACTGATGTGCCAGAAAATATGTCATTCAGTCGAACCAAATCATTTACACCGTAGTAGTACACATGCAAGCGGCTTTTCATCCCCACTGGTTTAACATATTTCCCAATTTGCCATTCCGGTTGTTCTCGGGCAGACTTTCGCCTTTCTTGATTACTAGCTGGATACAGAGACATTCGTTTAGAAAAGGGCTTTCAGGCTCACCTCAGCCTTCATGTGGGCCACACTTACGATAGTTCGTATCCTGTAAAGACTGGGACAGTGAAGAACTTAGAATGGAGGAGGACAGGGTTAAAGGTAATATTGATGAAATGTTAGCTAATGTAGCCATTCTAAAGCATGCCTCTTCCATATCTCACATTTTAGAAGGGAGTAGGTATCAGGTTTTCAGGAAGATAGCGTTCACTACCTCTGGAAGAATGAAATGTAAACGCCAACCCTGAAATACAAGTTTTTTTTATGTTCTTGTAGAAACTCCTAGTGAACGCAAAGGGTGCCTCATAAAAAATGTTTTTGACCAAGCACGTGTTTTAGCTCATGAACAAAGTTTTGAATATTACTAAAAGAATTTATAGAACAAGACAGACGTGAATGCTTAAGGTGCCTGAAACCCCTGTAATTATGATAAGTGGCGTGTTAACGTGAGTGCTTAGGAGAATGTAGCTCCTCGTCAAGGTAATAGGAACAGCGCGGAATAAACGGGGATGGGCTAAACGAGAGGTGACACGGAGAAGCGCTTTTCTGCGTCAGGTCTTGTTCGGTCCGTTCGTGCTTTTACTCGTACTACTGAAGTTCAAGAACAATTCTCAGTAACGGATGTCGTGGCATGCTTTCGAAATTGCTTTAGGCTAAAATAGAAAGCCATTTAGCCTTGTGGTGCTGCATGTTTTCGTAAATATTAGCAACTCTAAAAGCGATAACATTGGTTTCAGTGTATCACCCGACCCAGTTTTCAGTAGTGCCATCAAGGCCTGCCAAGCACAGCCTCAAGCGCACGTAAATGACTCTCTTCATATTGATGAATAACCCGTAAACGTAATTTGTGTTGAGCCGATGTTTCGACAAGCAGGCTTGCCTTCCTCAACGCTAGCACAGAACTTAATTTATTAGCTCCAGCTTGTCTATGCCTCGTACATTTTACTCCATTCTAAGAAAGAAGAGAGAAGGCCAACGTTTATTATGGGTGTGTGAGAGAGCGGGGGAGGTGGAGATGCTGGGACGAATTGCATGAGTGAATAAGGAAAAGGAATTTGGTGAATAAAAAAGAAGGAAGGGACGGGGAGGTGAGGACTTACACGTGTCACTTAGTCCCAGTTCTCGAACCGGTTATCAGAAAGTAACATCGAGAGGTTTCAAATTCTTGGATGGATGGCTGAAATCACAATGGTAATCTATGTGTATGCACCTTATCAAATAGATTTCAGAGCCCCTTTAGAAACGTTTAAACTCAATGTTTGGGCTGTATCAATAAAATGTCCTTGGGCTAGTTGGTGTTGTATCCCAGACATCATTTTTTTATCAGAAACAGAAAAAAAGTGAAAGAACTGGCTGAGAGTTCTTGTAATCTCTGCTAGTTCTTTCTTTTCTTGCTGTTTGTGCTTAAAATTTAATGTATGAATGGATCGTATTGCGTATAAGGTACTCGTATAAGGTAAGACTGTATATTTTCTGTCTCTCGCAGACCAAGAGTTTTACTGTTTGATACACGTTCATCACCACAATAGGAATTTTAGGGACATGTTAGTGCATGCAAAACAAATTTTCATTCTACTGCCCAAATAACATCTTGCTTTCACCAAACACGCAGGACTTGTAAACACCTTGAAAATGACACGATAGTGTCACTGGGTCTCACGTGGACGAAGGAAGCACGCTCGATGTTCAGAAGAAACTTTTTATTCGGCCAAAGGTTTGGCATGAAAACTAAAGGTCAGCCTGAATAAACACAGGTACACTGATAGCAGCGAAGAGAGCGTCGGTCGGCGATCAATTGCAAGCGTTAAAGCGCGTCGGCATTTATACACTTGATGTCAAACATTCTAGCGTTATCGCTAGCGGCCGCGTAGGTTCCAGAGTAATCTGTTAAAATCTGCAATGTCCACGAAGTGGGCGCAATCTTCACAAAATAATCTACTATACTCGCGAACCTTCTAAAACTGTTAGGCGCAGTTCGCACTGAGCATTTCAGACAAGCTTTGTGGCCGAAATTCGAAATTAAACATAAGAGTACGTAGGAAACACTCGTGGCATCGCCCCCCTCCCAAAAAGCATTGTTCCGATGCTTTATACTGAACACCAAGGGAAATACATGTACAATGAAAATAACAATGAAGCAAGAAAAAAGCACAATAATAAATAAGTATAAACAATAAAATAGAATAACAGACATTTATTGACACAGAACAATGTCCCTAAGTTTCTAACGCGCACGAAACGACTTGAGGTGCACTGTATAAACTATTTCAGGTCACGCACGCCGCCGTTTAAGTTCGTGATGCAACCTGGATTAACCTCGTAGTCGAGTGTGCCGAGACGTTTAACTACCTGTCAAGGTGTGAAGTAGCATCGCGAAAGCTTTTCACTCAGGCCACGTCGACATATCGACGTCAATACCAAAACGCGGTCGCCAGGCTGGTATTTCACGAAGTATCGTCGAAGATTGTAACGGTGGCACTCAGTCATCTGTTGGTTCTTGATGCGGAGGCGGGCGAGTTCTCGGGCTTCTTCGGCGCGCTGAAGGTACAGTCATGTCCAGTTTTCTTCGTCAGAGACGTTTACTAGTGTAGTGCCATCATTAACATCATCATTTCATTACCGCCATGCTGCGCCTCTCGCGCAGTTAGGGCTAGCTCGAGCTCGGCGAGAACAGAACTAGCTCACGTGCCTGGCGTGTCGGACGACGCTGGCAGCCGTCGTGGCTCCGCTTCAGGCCTGTTATAAAGTGGTTAAATTGGCACGGCGCCGTCGGCCGCCCTCGACGTCGTCTCACGTCTCTACTCTCACGCGCTACAGTGGTGACCACGCACCGACGGTCACGCGGCCGGCGGTGCATCGCTGCCACTGAGCTTCGCGTCCATGTTCCAGCCAGCTCAAACCTTGCAACCGCCCTTCGACCCGCCTTCGCCTGCCATGTTCTCGCAAATCTTCCCGCAAGTGCCGCCGTTTCAATTGACCCACCGCAAGGCATAATTTATGCAACTTGACGCTGTTCTTGCAGTGAATGGCATCATAGACCAACTGTTGTTGCACGCCATTCTTCTCGACGCTCTTCCGGTGGAGCTGCATCTTCACGTTGTCCCTTCAAAATCCAGCCCGCAGTCTTACGGTGACCTCTGCTCTGCGGTGCTGGCCTCCTACGGCCTCATCTACCGCCAACTTCGGTTTACCCACGACCTCCCGGTTTCTAGTGAATTACAGCAAGCAGTATCAACCGGCCATCATTCCTGCCTTGACCAAATCTTCACTTTCCCGGCTACGTCTTTTTCAACCTCTCATTCGGCCACTAGAGACGCAAGTCCCACGTTCAATTGCCAATCCCACGATGTCTAGGGCATTCTTGCAGCATGCGACCACTGAGCCACGAGGTGCGTTTTTTCATTGCCCTCGGCCGATGGTTCTGTAGGCATGCTCGTCACCCTCTCGTCTTGGCTGACCTACACAGTTTACAACGCCTCTGACCCGTCAGATTCCATGATGGATACATCGCCGAACGCCCCGGTGTCTACCAAGACTACGGACATCGTCGCGCCTACTATGTTTCCCCCGGTCACGAAGCTACAGTGTCGACGATGTCAGACGGCATCTCCCCACCCACCTTAATGCTCTGCGCGTCATCCCAGCAGCGGCCATACTCGCCTTCACAGTCTCCCGCAGCATAAGGTAAAGTCACAAGTCATAAACCACGACCACACTTCCGAGACTCTGCGACTGTGACCGACGATCCTGAGGGGGGCGACGTGCCTGATCCACCTATGTCACAGCAGACCGCACATCTCACGCCTGCCGGACAGGCAACCGTCTGCCATACCGCCCTGCACACGAACCCGCGTGTGCCAACTACTGAAGATGCTTCCCCAAGTCAAGGTGCGCCCACTTAGCCACCTCCAGAGTCCACACCTGCTGGATTCCATGATACGCTTCCTACCAAGTTCTTGGCGGAACCCGTAGGCCAGCTCGCATGTAACTGGAATGTAGGCACGCCACGTCATTCACCTCTACCTGACGTGTACATTGCTACGTACCCACTGACAACGTAAACAGACAAGTCCAATCATAATCGGATACCGCTCACGTCACGTCACCTGCTTACCGACATTGGCGTCAGCGCTGTGCAAACCCGCGAATTACCATCGAAGCCATTGCTTGTTGATTGGTTGCCTGCAAGATTTCACTACACCACATCTCATTGCTTCGAACGCAGGGGCCAAATCGGCTTTTCTACACCCGCCCTCACCTCACCTCACGCTGAAGGCACCTCTACCTGTAATGCTTACTCGCGAAATTTGTGTGCTGCCGGCTAGCCTCAGCTGGTCATCCTGTCACC